AATCTTGAACCCCGCGTTCTACATTGCCGAGCGTATTGTGCTCGGGATGCACAAGTCTCCCGTTGCTGACGTCGAGAACAACCTGCTGAATTACGCCGACGTATCCACTCCGGCCGATGTTACCGAGCGCTCAGAGAAGCAGTCGCACACGTCTCGCGCTTCAAAGCGCCGCTCCTTCATTTCTGTGGCTGATAACGAGAACGTCCACCTCGGCGACCCGGAAGCGGAGGCTGCGGAATACCGCGGCGCCAACGCCATCAAGTACGTGATCCTTCGCGTCGTTATGATCGCGATCCTGGTGATCGCGTCCGTGATCCTGAAGGACCACTTCCACGACTTGGCCGACTTCGCGGGCGCATCCTGCATCACGGTGAACTCGATCATCCTGCCCATTGTCTTCCTCGTGAAGAAGAAGTGGAACGTCATGCCCATCTGGGAGAAGGCCCCGGCGCTCACGGTGGTCGTGGTGTGCTTCTGCCTGGGCTGCTATGTGACGTACACGTCGGGCCAGAACCTGTTCGATCCCAGCGATGACGACAGGGCCTTCCCGTTCTGTGCTCCGGAGTTTGAGAATGCCGTCTACTACAACTACACGGCCGAGCACGAGAGCTAGGCTAGACAAGTGCAGGTGTATGTGAAGTGTTGGGCGATTGTAACGAAACGAATCATGTTTGAACTTAAATTGAAGGCCTTGCCTGGTTGTGGGTTAGTACTGTACTCCTACGATTTTTTTGCTCAAACGCCGCGCTTTGTCCGTGGATGACTTTATGAGCAGTTTTGCTTCCATGAACAGAAATTCATGAACAGAGAAACACGTCACATTTTGTAGAGACCCGATATATGGACTGTACTACGACTACGCGTAGGCTGGGGTAGCAATTTTACGGGAGCAACCAGGGCTTCCAAGTACTAGTATGCTCTGTCTGGAGGTGTTTCTGGTGCATCTGCAGACGGATGCATGAATACATTTCCAAAGTGAGATCAACGCGTTGTAGGGGCCTGGTGTTCGAGTGGTCACTATGGACTTATCTCGAAGAAGCTTTGAAGTTTAAAAGATTTCTAAACCGAATCTGCTCAATATCTCTAAAAGGTTGGCCTCATGCATTTAGGGCTACATAGGGTATGTATCACACTTTCGATCTTGTAGCTACATTGGTACTTTTCCGCTAATACTCATACCGCTAATGAAGAAGCGCACAGAGTGATGTGCTGGCGTGGTCATGAATATAAAACACAGACACCCGGTGCAAGGATTAGGCCCATATATACATGGATGTCCGCAGTATCTACCCAATATAGTGCAAAAAAATAGATAACTTAAAACACCAATTGAGTGCACGGTTTCAATTTATTGCACGATATGCATTATTAACCAATGGAATCGATCTATTCGACATTGTGATGTTTTGATTGGCCTAAAAGCCGATAATCAAATTTGTGCGCGACAGTTTTAGTATGGAACAGCTTCCAACAAGGGCCTCGAAAAGTTTTGCGGTAAGTATTCAACAATGACTCTGGAGGGTGTCAGTGTGCTTTATCACAATCACAAAGCGGCGGGAAAGACATACATGTCTTAACAGGCACCTGTGCTATCAACAAGTACATGCCCATACTGAAACCAAGATAAATTATGGATCGTGCACTAAAATGATCACTGGCTTTTATTGCTCCTTGTGCCACTACACTTCCACCTATAGCTTTGCAAGGACGGTTTATCTTACAGTTAGGAATATGCTCCTGGTATTGTTCCTTATTCCGTAATACGCCATGACCCGAATAGCTTCTACTGAACCATCCTTGTGCTGTCGTAGGCAAATTCCGAAATGACCCAAAATCGCGCACTCAATTGGTGTTTTAAGTTATAGCGTATTTGAAAGAGGTGGCAAAAAAGAGAAACTATAACCAAACGAACCTTGCATGAGAAGTATTTGCAGCTTCATCTGCAAAGCAGCCGCGGGAGATGCCACGAGCTGCTCATGGGTAATGGTAAACAGCCTCCTATAAAACTAAAAACAAAACGACACCCGCAGATTTGGTCAAAACCCTTCTATCGTAGCCTCTCCATGTTAGCTCAGTGTAGAGGGTGCGAGTGCTCTCAAGAGCAAACCACGGCAGTATCCGCCTGCGGTGCGCGCGTTCGTTCGCAAGTTTAACAGCCAGCTGGTGGAACTCGGCTGGGTGTACGAGAACCTGAGCAGCCGCTGGGCCAGCTCAGTGCTGCCAGTGTGCAAGCCCGGCGAGAACGCCGATGCCTACCGCCAAACCTGCGACTATCGAGTAGTCAATGACCTCATTGAGGCGTTGATTAGCACGATGCCACACATGGCCACGCTGCTCGAACATACTTGAGGCAAGAGGCATTTCGGGTTGTTTGACCTACTGAAAGGCTTTTGGCAACTACCGCTAGACGAACTTAGCCAAGAGTTAATGTCCTACATCTCCTGCATTTGTGATAAGGCCATGACCTTTTGGTAGGGGGTTGTGATACGAATCTATCCAATTGCCGTGGATGACCTGTTGATCCGTGACACTTTGACTCGTCTTGAGTATGGTGCGATATAAACGGCAACTGTGATACGGACAAATCACGATCTCGTTGTGACCTTTCACGACTCTCGTTACGGCACAGATAACTACGACAACACGATATTGATACGGCGCAGATATTGCCGTTTGCAGATATTTTGGCCAATGCATGCTTATTATCTCGTTAATAATCTCGATTTTAATCCAGCCAGCTCTTAATTAAGACCTAGGTCTGATTTATATATCTCGCCAGTACGGTCTAAGATCCGAGCTTGGGGCTCTGTTTTCTCGACCAAGGCGCTTTTCTACGACTTGGAAACGCAGAAATGCCATTCTAGACGGGCCAAACCGAGTTTCTGGGCCTAAAAGCGGCCTCCAGCAAAGTATAAAGCTAAATCAGCCCTCGCCTATCTCGTGTCCACTCATATTAAGAGACATACGTGGTCTATTTTAGAGGGCAAAGTATTTGCAAGCGACAATAACTCGCAACGGCACATATAATCACTTTATGTACGGGCACACACTAGTACGGCGCAGATATCCCGTCTGGGTCTCTACATTTTCAGAGAACTTTAGTGGCGTCTTGATGGCCGCGGCCAACCTGAACGTGCATACATCTAGTGTCCATCTGCGACGATATCTATGTCTGCTTATACTGGTATCGCGACAGAGCTCTGCACTCCCAGACTTCTGTAGTAGAAAAGCTAGCGCAACGGCCCGGATCTCCTCCGCGAATACATGCACCGCACTGCCCTGCTTCGCAGGCATACCACGCAGGCATACAGCCGCAATACATGCGGCTACGCGGCCTCGCAACCGCTCACTACTGCGCGCAATTAATGCTAGTATTGCTTTGCGCTTGCAGGTAATGCATCAAACGCATACCAGTGATGCTTACCTTTTTGACAGGCAGGACGAAGCTCGGGTAGCCTTAAGGCTTCCGTCTGACAGAGCTGTTAGGCAGCACTGAGGCTTCTGGCGTGGCGCAAGGAGGACTACATTCACTACGCGTGGGTGCTGGGAGACCGCCTCCGCTACACGTGCGTCGAGCGCAAGGAGATGCGAGACGCAGCTCTATCAATTTTCGAGAAGAAATACATTTACTACGAGAGCCTGCATGGCTCCTTATGCTTCCTACACACAAACGCAACAGCCCTCCTCTCTCCCCCCGCTCTGCCGCAGCTTCTAGCCTCGCAACCGTGCCGCAACAGCACGCTTCCTCGCACCGACGAGCTACAAAATCAACGGCGGATAGAGAGCGTATTTAAGTGGATCGACACAGTGCGAAGTTATATGCGCCGTAGGCTTACGGCGCATATAACTTCTTTTCGTCCTGTTGTAGTTATCTGTGCTGTAACGACTGCGACCTTTCACTACCGTCTAAAAGCGAAAAACCAAAAGACCACGCACGACGAGAACGATGATGCAGACGGCGTGAGCTCCGTGAACGGGGCCTTTGTGGCGGTCATCAAGACATCGTGGGCGAGGCGAGGACGGCGACGTGCACCAAGAGCGGCACCGCACCAACGGTGCGGGTAGTGACAAAGTATGGCTGCAGCTGCCTGCCAATTCCTCGTGGGTGTCGTCACTAAGGACTGACTGACCCGACTTCTTCGTGCTGCTCTTGCTACAGCTGCTCAACGTCGTGGACTGGTACGACGAGCTCAAGACCGGCAACGACGTGGCCGCGCTCGAGGCCTGCCTGAGACCCATGACATCCGCGACGGCATGCACAAGGCCATCAACGCCGCACTGCTCATACCAGACGACCCCATCACGCTGTCGGCCGGCTCGGCCGTGCCCGCGGACTACGATCTGTGAGAGGGCAACCCCGTGCAGATCGACCAGGCCGTGCTGACCGGCGAGTCCTTCCCGGTGACCATGGCCACGATAACATCGCCAAGATGGGCCCCACGGTCGTACGCGGCAAGGTGAAGGCTGTGGTATCGGCCAACGCCGGCCCGACCTTCTTCTGCAAGACGTTGGTAAGAACCTTGAGGAAGAAGGCGCTGGTGCGGACTCATACGAAGCTGTGGAGGAGGTAAGTAACGAGCACAGTGTGGCGATTTTTTTTATGGGGTAGCGCTAATGTTTCTGCGGTTTTATTTTATGTACGTGAGGGGCACTCATGGTACTATATCGACAGTACGACGGACTCGTGGGGTCTCGGCGTTGTCTTTCGGATCATGTTGCACTCAAGCGAGCTCGGTCTCGTTGTGGCCCGCGTTGAAGGCTGAGTTGATGGCACTGCGTGCGTATGTTAGCCTGTGTCATTTCGCAACGATGCAACCAAACACTTCGTAATGAATTCGAAGAGAGCAGAAAAGTTGTCGTGCTTATTGAGGGTTGCTGGTCTTGGGTACTGTGTACCAGTTGTACCCATTAACCGGTTAACCCGAACCGGTCCAATCCGAACCCACGTTGATTATGGTGATTACGGTAAGTTGTTTACGCCACCGATGATTAGACGAGTAGGATGATTGGATGAACACCGGTGAGTGATGGTTGATTAGATGCACTAGGTGATAGGACGCAGGGTCGCGTGTCTATAACAGTAGGGTGTAAGCTCCAACAATTCAATCACTTTCGAATCTTCATTCTACCCCTCAAGTGCCTTCGCTCCGGTCCCGCCGTCTGCGACGTCCCTCCCTCCGCTTCGTCCGAACTTCGTGTCCAAGATCCATACCTTCCATCAGGTTATGAGCCCAAGCACCATGTCCTCTGCCCAAGACGCCTCGACCAAGGTCTCCATTGACAAGTTCAACGGGGACAACTACGCGACGTGGAACCGCTACATGCGTGGCGTGTTCCTGACCAAGTCGACGTGGCATGTCGTGAACCGCGAGACGACGCCGAGCTTCACGGACTCGCGGGCCAAGGACGACTACGTCAAGTCGAGCAACATCGCGTTCGGACTGATGTTGCTCCACATGGACGCGGACTACCACCATGTGGTCGACGACTGCGAGGAAGCGTGGGTTGCGTGGACGCGCCTGAAGACGCTGTACGGTGGTTCGCAGAAGGCTGAACGCATCTACCTGAAGCGCCAACTCTTCAGCATGGAGATGTCGGAAGGCGGCAACGTCTTGCATCATTGCAACGAGGTCCTCAACATCAGCGCCAAGCTCAGCAGCATCGGCGCCAAGATGGAGGATGAGGACGTGGCGATCTGCCTGTTGCGCAGCCTCCCCAAGAGCTACGAGAACGTCGTGCTGAACTTGGAGATGAGCAGCGCTGAACTACGATCGCAAGACGTCGTGAAGGTGCTGACGAATGAGCACATCAAGAGACAAGGCGAGAAGACGGCGACGGTGAAGACGGAGAATGCGGCCAAGGCGTTCAACACCGACCGAGAGTCTCACCAGTGTACGTACTGCGGGAAATTGGGGCACACGATTGACAAGTGCTGGACCAAGCAGAAGGACGAGAATCGGGGCCCAAGACGCGGCGGCAATGGCAATGGCCGTGGACGCGGGGCCAACAATGCCCAGTGGAGGAACGACGACGCCAGCTACAACTACGACTACGGCTATGATCGAGTGTCGTTCGCGGTCTCACTGGAGTTTGGCATTTCGACGGGCAAGAATGTGTCCGGGTTGTGGGCGGTCGACAGCGGCGCAACACACCACATCTGCAACGACAAGGCCAAGTTCGCTCATTTGATTGAGCGGAATGAAGGCGAACTTTCGGTGGCCGACGGCAACAAGGCGGCCATCATGGGTGTGGGGACCATCGTGGAACGAGTGGTTCTGCCCAACGGCGACGAGCGCGACATCGAGATCAAGAACGCGCTGTACGTCCCAAGCATGAGCAAGAATCTGCTTTCGGTGCCACAGATCAACAAGAGTGGTCTGTTCCAAGTCGTGTTCGACAGCACCAAGATGCAGATTGCGCACAAGGGCTCCAAGCAAGTGGTGGCGACGGCAAACCTCGTGGATGGACTCTACTGGCTCCAGACGCCTCAGCGATCGGCGAATGCGGCGACCAGTGGGAAGACGGTCGACTTACACGCGCGTATGGGTCACGCTCCGGTGGAGGTGCTTCGCAAGATGGTCGACAACAACATGATCAAGGACGCGAAGGCACCTTCCAAGTCGAGTGGACCAAGTGTGTGTCGCGGCTGCCAGCAAGGGAAAATGGTCCAGAAGCCGTTCCCAAGCAACCGTGACAAGCGTCACTACGACACGTTCGAGCTGCTCCACTTCGACGTGTGCAGCCCCATGGAAGAAGAGTCACTGGGTGGCAGCAAGTATCTGCTGCTGATCGTGGACGAAGCCAGCGGATGCATGAAGGGGTTCTGCCTGCGTGCCAAGTCGGAGAGCGAGGACTGCATCAAGATGTACGTCACGAAGGTGCAGACGCAGTTCGGCAAGAAGGTCAAGTTTGTGCGGCACGACGGGTCCCGTGAGTTCGCGACCAACTCGCTCAAGGCCTTCTACGAAGTCGAAGGCATCGAGCAGCAAACCACGGTTCCGTACGCGCACCAGACCAACGGCACGGCAGAACGCGCCATCCGGACCATCGTCACGATTGGCCGCAGCATGCTGCATCACGCCAAGCTGGACAAGAGCTTCTGGGCTGAGGCGGCCATGACAGCCATGCACGTGAAGAATCGTCTGCCATCACCCAAGATCGAACACAAGACTCCGTTCGAGATCGTTTACAAGTCCAAGCCGAGTGTGAAGCACATGCGTGTGTTCGGATGCCAGACGTACATCCTGACGCCGAAGGAAAGACGGCGCAAGTGGGACCCCAAGGCTCGCGCCGGGCTGTTCCTCGGCTACGAAGAAGTGTCCAAGGCGTATCGAGTTTATGACATCGAGGCGGGGCAGGTGGTTATCAGTCGCGATGTCAACTTCGATGAGTCGACCTCTGGACTTTTGACGCATACTTCGGATGAAGACGTCGATGATGCTGTGCTGGACTTGGACGCGCTGGACCTGGACGACAACGATGGACCGCGCCAAACGAGCTTCAAGCAGGCGGGGAAGCGCAAGTACCGACCGAGTGGCGACGACAACGCTGCCAAAAGATCGCGCCCCGTTCGCCACCGAGCTGGCTTAGAAGAAGCAAGTGCGCCGGACGTATCCTCCTCGCGCCGAGCCGACCCCGACGAAGAAGAAAAGTCTGGGGACCAAGATGAAGACGACGACTCGACGCCTCCAGTGTTTTGGCGGGCCAGTGCCAACGCTGTGGAAGCAGCAGCCGATCTATCGGAGCCGACGACGTTCCAAGAGGCTGTGAACGGTCCTGGTCAAGTGCACTGGCGCAAAGCGATCCGCGCGGAGCTCAAGTCGATGCGACTGCGTGGTGTGTTTCGAGCTGCCAAGTTGCCTAACGGACAACGCGCCATCGATACCAAGTGGGTGTTCAAGATCAAGCGCAAAGCGGACGGCTCGATCGAGAAGTACAAGGCGCGCCTCGTGGCCAAGGGCTTCAAGCAGAAGTACGGCATTGACTACACCGAGACGTTCTCGCCCGTGGTCAAGTATGTGACGCTGCGCATGGTGATCGCGATTGCTAAGTATTTTGGCTGGCCCCTCGACCAACTCGACGTGGTGACAGCATTCCTGTACGGGATAATGAAGGAGGTGGTCTTCTGCGTGGTTCCGGAAGGCGTCGAACTGGATGGTGACTTCGACTGCCTGGAACTGGTGAAGGCCATCTACGGTCTCAAGCAAGCTTCGCGAGTGTGGAACGAGACCTTCGACGAGTTCGTGTGCTCCATCGGCTTCCAAGTGTCGGCCTTCGATCCGTGCCTCTACATCAAGGTGGTGGACGGTCACTGCGTGCTTGTACTGGTGTACGTGGATGACGTACTGATTACCGGGAGTTCGCCCGAGCTGATCGCACGCACGAAGACCGACCTGAAGACGCGCTTCGAGCTGACCGACAGCGGCAAGCGCGCGTTTGTTCTTGGGATCGAGTTGGTGGACGGCCCGGACGGCAGCGTGACCATGTGCCAGCGGCGATACGTGGACGACATCCTGAAGCGCTTCGCCATGGACGAGTGCAAGGCCGTGGTGAGTCCGGTGGACATGAGCACTCGACTGGTTCCAAGCGACGCGGCGACCAAGGTGAACGCTCCGTTTCGCGAAGCTGTTGGTGCTCTGATGCACCTGATGACCGCCACGCGCCCAGACATCGCGTACGCCGTTGGCTATGTATCGCGCTTCATGGAGAATCCCCAAGAGGAACACTGGGTTGCGGTCAAGCGTATCTTTCGCTACCTGCAAGGCACCAAGACGCATGGGATCTGCTTCAAGCCGGGCGAAAAGATCGACTTTCGTGGCTACTCGGACGCGGACTGGGCCGGCGACCTCGCCGACCGCAAGTCCACTTCAGGCTACACGTTCATGCTCATGAGTGCGCCTGTGAGCTGGGGAAGCAAGAAGCAATGAAGCGGAGTACATCGCGCTCAGTCTGGCTATCCAAGAAGGCAAGTGGATTCATCGCCTGCTATGCGAGATTCTGGCGGCCGCTAATTAGACTGGACCCGAACTCATGATCCGCGAAGACAACCAGTCGTGCATCAAGATGACGAAGAACCCAGTGAACCACGGTCGCGCCAAGCACATCGACATCAAGTACCACCACATCCGCGATGAAGTCAAGCGCGGCGAAGTCAAGCTCCAGTACTGCGAGACTTCTGTGATGCTAGCGGACATCATGACGAAGGCGCTTGCGGGACCACGCCACACGGATCTGACGGTGGCTCTCGGCATTCGTGGGACTTCGCATTGAGGGGGCGTATTGAGGGTTGCTGGTCTTGGGTACTGTGTACCAGTTGTACCCATTAACCGGTTAACCCGAACCGGTCCATTCCGAACCCACGTTGATTATGGTGATTACGGTAAGTTATTTACGCCACCGATGATTAGACGAGTAGGATGATTGGATGAACACCGGTGAGTGATGGTTGATTAGATGCACTAGGTGATAGGACGCAGGGTCGCGTGTCTATAACAGTAGGGTGTAAGCTCCAACAATTCAATCACTTTCGAATCTTCATTCTACCCCTCAAGTGCCTTCGCTCCGGTCCCGCCGTCTGCGACGTCCCTCCCTCCGCTTCGTCCGAGCTTCGTGTCCAAGATCCATACCTTCCATCAGTGCTCCAGGTATTGTTACAGTTGACTTTGTCGTCTCAAAGAGTGCTAGAGCAAATGTCCTAATCAAAATATCATGTTATCCAACCAATCACAGAGCGTGACCAATCGTGTTATGAATCATATCACAAACGCCGTCATTATATACATTACGGACACAAAAATTTACACTCCTCGTCGCGTCCTCAGGGATGCTGTGATGCCGCCGTGCATTTTCAGCAGACGATGGAGCGATGCTTCGATTCGCTGCTGTACGATTACATTGTCATTTGGATTGATGATCTACTCCTATTTGCCGATGCCATCGACATCTACGTGACCAAGTTGGAGGAATTCTTCGACTTAGTGGCTAAGTATGGGCTCAAACTTCGCGCGAAGAAAAGCAGCCTTTGCCAACAGTCAGTGAAGTGGTGCGGGCGCATCATCAACAGTGATGGTGTTTCACACGACCCGACTTGCATTGACGTGCTGCGATCGATGTCGTACCCGACCACAGCAGGCCAGTTGCAGCCGTTTCTGTGTGTCTCCAACTGGATGCGGGAATCTATTGTTGACTATGCTCGTGCTGTGGAGCCTATGTAGCAGTGACTCGACACTGCTCTCAAGAGTGGAAAGCGCACAAAGCGCGTCGCTGCTGGCATCTCTGTCGCGCTGACAGATACAGAGCGGGTTGCATACGACAATGTGAAGGACCTATTGACTACATCAGCTACTCTAGCACTTCCAGACGACTCAGCCACCACGTACACTTTCGTATCGCCGCGTAAACGAGATCTCCGTTCCCAGCCTCAACCTGAAGTTCACCGTTCTGTAGAGCGCTTTTAGAAATGCGTCCACGGCAAGGTTCAGCTGGTGACTCCCGCACCAGTTGATCGTGATCGCCGTGTTTCCAAAGTGTCCAGCAGCAGCACGAAGGTGAGTCGAGAATCCCTGGTGGCGGCCCAGCATCGTCGCAGCGCCGTCCGTCGAGATACCGATCAGTTGGGTGAGCAAGTTGGATTCACCAATGTCCTCGAGTAGATCAATGACGAGCTCAGCATAGTTCTCGCCTATGTGTGCGCTATGGCCAATGGGGACAATGGGGATAGCGAGGAGGTGGATGCTGTGCACTTTACCCACAAGACCAAACGACTCACGCACGTCCAAGTATCCTTCTTTGTTATGTGTCGCACCATCAACCATCAGCGAAACCCCCCACGTCTTCGTAAGCAGTGAGCTGATAGCAGAGAGGTTGAGAGCAACGACACGGCGAACTGATTGCCCCACTACTTGTCTGCAGGGGGCTCCAAGTTTCATGTTGGACAGCGCAGTCCCGAACGTGGTAAACAAACCAGCAATAGCGCGAAAGCTCACTCCCGCATTGATGCAGTTGATAATGGTCTCAAATTGGTCTCGATCACGGATAATCAGCACATGCCCATCCGACTTGGTCTCCACAAAGTCCGTGTAGACTTCAACCTCTCCCATTTCCTCGTCCACGGCCACCAAGCCGTGCGGTGTGTCACCCCGATTGCAGAATAGACGCTGGATGAGACTGGCAATTTCGCGCGGTACAACAAACGATATCTGAGGGTGCCTCGGGAGGAAGCTCTCGATCAGCGTAGGGAGAAAAAAGGTTTTGCGCTCTTCGTCCTCTGTGACAGCTTGGAAGGCGGACCACTGTCTTGGGTGCTCACGATGCATGTGCTGGGTGATGTAGTCGCGGCAGAACGACTTGAATACCATAGCTTAAGACGTCTTCGTCCGTTTCGGTTTCGTACTCCTCACCAACGCTTCGAACGCGGAGCCGGTTTGCTCGTCCTCGGGATCCTCCCGTCCAAAGACCTCGCAGAATTTGCAGATTGCCTATACAACGTCATCTCCCACGCAGTTGAACGGACGAACACCAAGCTCCTTCTCATACTTGAGATGCCAGTACTGGCGTGTTACCAGCTTCTCCTTGGCTGGCAACACTACCAGTACGTTGTTCACACTACGCAGACTTCGAGTCGCCTGAGTTGAGATTGCAGTCGGCTTGTAGAGACCCTTTCCTCGGCCTTTGGATGTCCCATGAGCTTTGGAAGCTGATGTTGGTGGCATGGGCGTTGGTGGGTCGATTGACGGTTGGTCGGCAAGTTTAGAAGTGATCTACGAGTTCGACTCTGAACGCTCAAGCGCAACCAGCCACCAACTCAGCATGCAACTCGAGTTTAGACCGTCAGATCTCAACTTGCATCAACATATGAGCGATACTACTGGGGCAAGACTAGTTGCGACAACCTAGAAGTGTTATTAGCCATGTACTTGGCCTATTCGTCGTTGCATACATGGATAAGCTGCTTCAGACGATGATAGCAGTTCAAGTTGGCTTCAGTTCTAGGATTTTCACGGTTATGAAGGAGCACCCTAGGAGACTTTAAAAGGGGTATTTCGTTCTTTTTCTGTACACAGTACCCTGCATATTGGTTCCAAAACAATTCGGAACAGCCAACTTCAACACGTTGCACCTAGACAAGGCTGGGGGGGGGGGGGCAGTGTAGTGGATGACAATCTCCAGCCTGTCGAGCTACTAGCTCGGAGCTAGGGCTCTGATTGAAGCAACACTGATATCTATGTCGACGGACCTACACTACCAATGGACAGGCTCGTAGTGTTGCCCGACAGCAACACTGATCGTTTCCCACAAATAGTTTACCTGTATCACTCGTAGCAGAATATTTGGTTTACCAATGTTACAATAGTGGGCACGCGTCACCACGACAGCGATGCATGCACTCTGCATGGCTCAACGCAGCCAAGCCGCCCATGTACAATGCCGCCCCGAGATTCCGCCGCTTGGAGACGCGGACGCGACAAGCGCGTGATGGTATACGCACCACGTGCAGCAGCAGGGGGAGAGGGGGCTCTACGATATCTACGCGCAGCTCTACCTGGGGGGCACAGGTAGCACTGTAAAACACTAGTCTATTACTGTAGTAGTTGGTAGGACACTCGCCCGTTGTCTCGGTGTCGTGGGGAAAATATATGTGGTTGCAACGCTCGCATACGCAACACCCGCCTTATCTGCGGGTGTTAGCGATCGGTGAATGCGCGCAGTGAGGCTCACGCTTATTAACCTAACTGAAATGTTGCGCTGTTGGCTGGAGGCGCATTAAAAGCGCTTACGACTGTTTCAAAAGAATCGCATTAGCTTGTATTCAACACGCATCGCTCACGAATCGACTAGGGCCTAACGAAACGCACTGGGAAGCGTTTGCTCCCGCATGGTACAAGCAAGTGTATAAGCACCACAGAAGGACATGCACATATTAGAATAAGGTTAAGCAGGAGGCCGCTGCAACGGTCGCACATCAGGGAGGGCGCGAGCGCGCTACCCGGTAGATTCTGAAATGAGCTGTTGCGAGCCATACGTGAAATTCACGCCTGGGAAATTTACATTAGCGATGTGACCTTTTTTTACTTAGTAAAATTACGGTTGTAGTGGTGCTGGTGGACCTGGTTGTCAGTGTTGCATTAATGACTTTCTCTAGCTAACAGCATCGCCATTGGCCGCAGTCAATCACTGCAGGTGTGATGGCTGCGGCCATGCACCTTACTCTTAACGCAAAGTAAGATGACAAGTGCTGGGCATAACGAAAAAGCTGATGCCCAGCCAGAAATCAAGTGGACGATGACGGAAATCTTGATGATAACCGAACTACCTTACAAGCTAGATTACGGCTGCGGCTTCACTGGTTAGCAGGAGCCGCAGCGCTAGGAGTAGTTCGTATCCGATCACTTTACTATTTGGATTTGGCAATACACTTACAGCTAAAACTTACGGGAGCATCGCCGTCTCTCCCAGCGTGTCTTCGACTTCCCTGCAGACACTACATTCAGGGGCCGTGGAGTGGTACTCCGGCAGTTGTTGTAGCTCGCGTGCAAGCTGAAGGCAGACAGATGGGTATGCACGTAGGGAGGTTGCTTGGTTTTGGGGTAGAAAGCGAAATGGCACGATAGTTAAAGCCCTGCTCAATGATAGATGTGGTCCTACGAGTAGACAAAAGCGGGCGGCGGGTCACTACCATGCAGAAAGACAAATATCGACGCGGCTTCAGTTTACCGGCCTCAGTTACCGAGGTCCGAATTAACCCGATTTGGGCTGCCTAGAAGCATGACGTATCAGCCACTGCTATCCCAGTACGAGAGCTATGCGTAGGCTGGGATAGCTAAAACCTTTGTGTGAGATACGTTAAGCGGGCTCACTAGTCGTACCCGAGCCGCTGGACAGGTCGTATGCTCACGCTGCGAGTTCGCACGCGAGTCATCTACTTCTCAACACCGTACTGGCCGTCAGAGATCACTTGATCTCCCCCTGCCGGGACGTCCACCGTCGTGTCCGCTCCACTTTTATTACGAGGAATAGCCTGAACTACTCCTAATACCAACGAATAGACACCAGTTTTCACCAGCAGCTACTCTACCGTCCGAACTACTACTGCGCGTGCACCAACACCACTGACCGTCCTCAGATCTCGCACTACGCGCCCAGGAACAGCTTAGACCCTCTGTCCGAGTGCTCACGATAGCGTCGAGTACCGCCTGTGACCCGCTCGTTCGTGCCAATACCACCCTCAGTCATAGCAACAGAGCGTTTCGGCTCCGTATCGCTCTCTCCGTACACGTTCTCGGCCGCGCTCGTGCAGCACGTCCTGTTCACCTTCTCCTACGTGCTCTCCAGCACGCACACCCTGGCCACTTGTGCCAAAATCGTCGAATCTTAGAGTGTGCGGGCCTCTCACCGCCCGCTCGCCGTCCTGCTTCCGTCCTTCAACGTCGACTCGACTGCCCGCTGGATACCTGCCGTTGTGCGTGCCACTGAGCGGCATTTTGCCCAGTCACGGTGCGTCCAGCGCCGCCGCTTCGAGGTACTTGGTCTCCGTCGTACCGCCGACCTTCGCGCAGTCGCCCGAATCCGGCATCTGCGTCGCGTCGCCGTCCGTCACCACGTCCTCCGTCGCTGTCACGCTCATATGGGTCCTCCTGTCGCGCCCACCTGTTACCTACGTAAGGTATCTCCACCGCGGCCGCGCTGCGAAAATTACGAGAAGCAAAGTCGGTCGTTGCACGAAGAAGCTCCAAAAAATGACTACTAAAGTACAGCATTTGTGATACGTAAATCTGCGTTACCCATTGCAGTGCATCTCCTGCGCCTGCTTCGCATCCGCAGCATCCGCTTAAATAACTTCGAGCCTATCAGGAGTTGTACGTGCTCGTAAACCTTTAGTCTGTCGAATACCACCTTCTGGGCACACACACGTTTTTTTTCTTTCACTTCAGCAACTTACCTCAGCAACTTAGTCCACGCGACCAAGGGTTCGCCGATGCCTCTGGCAGTTTCCTGTTACATCCAGCTTGGGCCGATTCATTGCAATACATCCACGGTTATTCATTCTTCGGCATTCTACTCTCTATACCAACGCCTCGGGGTCCGCTCTTATAGTCTACGACGTCAGTATTTACATTTCTGCATGATAGCTAGTGTGTCATTCTGTATATTGGGAACTCTAGATAACCAACAACACGGTTAACCTTTATCCACCCCTTCAGCAAGTTAGTACATGCACTGTAGGTGCTTGTGTGCGAGGGGGTTGGAGAAGTGAGGGATCGTTTGATGCATGTGTTCCGCTGCAAGTGCGCGATGTACTCCCTTCCTTGTCAAATAATAGTTGAATTGGCTTTGCCGACGGTCTCACCGCGCGCGGCGACAACCTGGTACGCCGACCAACAACGTGCGGACTGGTAGGGAGCTTCAGCGGTAAGTTCAGCTCGCACACGAGTGAGAACTCGACGACTAGAGAACTTTCGAGATGTTGTCCATCCATCTCGAGCCTGAGCTTGTCTCGGATTTGAGAGATGGAGAGCATAGACAGTAAACTTTAGTTACCGGGGTCAGTTTTCTGGCTTTAGTATTACTGGCTTCAGTTACCGAGGTGCCACGTAATTAACCTGTGTTGGGCTGAACCTGTGTTGGGCTGGCCACACATTTGTTGCGTTTGGACCGGTCTCGGACCGGTTCCATCCTGATTTATCACAGAGAGGCAGGACCGTTAGATTAGCAGTCAGTTCGGAATTTGCCTTGGAATAGAGATTGCATTCGCTCTCACCTCGGTCTTGCTGCTGTCCCTGAGCATGGAGTCAGAACAACACTTAACATGAGCACTACCATAATGCAATTGCACTAGCTAGTTCTCGTGAGTAGCCGTGTAGTTGTACATGCAGTACACAGTGTTCTCATACCCCGGAGCGCAGAATGGGAAAGACGCGTCGTCATTGCTGAGGGCGAACAAGACCTTGCCCGACGTGTACAAGAAGCTGTTTTGCTACAACGTGAATGAAGTGCAGTTGCCCAGATATGCATCTGCCTAGACATCATTCAGCGGTGTGTTGCTCACTACAGTGCTTAGGCGTACGCGAGCTATCGACATCGTATCCACGCGTGACAAGGTACAGAGGATATCGTTACGTTTAGAAAAAATCGGTGGTCTCGTGGTTTTCCATTTGTGTGAGGAGTGAATACCGATAGGCTATCGGCGATAGCAGTGTTTTTTTTCGTAAGCTATGCTTGGCTGCCGCACTACCAATATCGATACCAGTCTGTAGCGCGGTTCGCACGTCAGATCAGCACTTGCTAAACTACAACTAAAATACGATAGTTAGCCAACATTTGGCCAGCAGGAGGCCCAGTATTTGGAAAAAACTATCATCTTTTGTCGAGCGGCCAAGATGATGGACCAGCATTAAATGCTGCCACATTTTGGCGATGCCGCTTTCTGCATGTCTGTGAGCGACTTGCTGAGTCAGCGTGCTATTATCCATGGTAAAGTTACCCTAACTGTTTTGTATACAGCGGCCCAGTATTAATACATGTGTACCGAAAATGGATGACACCCCTTAAGCACAGTTACAGGCGACTCGCCTGGTAGGCTGGCGGCTCGTCGGAATTTAGGTAGAGCCTGGCGTGCTCTGTACCGGACGGCGGGACTCCCGCCGGGAGTGGGCAACGCCCACTAAGCAGTGCTTACTAAGCACAGAACGTTATAAAAGTGGCAGAAGGTTGCAATACGCATGATGGAATGTCGTGGCCCGACTCGTAAATACTGCTTTGCTGTTGAAAGAGTGCAATGCTCGAATATTAATACTCCTTATCTCTCTAGGCTTGTACAGCGTTGGTGTCGAGCATTTTTTTAAAATTTAAATGATAAAAAATAGGCATAAGGTACGGCGCAACTATATATGTAGTAGAGAGTGCTCAGTTTCAGAAAACCCTTTTCAGCCAATTATAAGGCAGTAATCGAGCCACAAATCTCTATGATTGGTCGATAAAAGCCGGCACATGAAGCAAACACATGGCATTTCAATACAAAACCCAAGTAAAAATCTCTCGTAAACTGGCACCACCTGCGATTCGAGATGGCTTCAAAACTTACATGTTTCAGAAACAAGTAAGTTTTAAAAACCAAGATACAATGTTTGTTAGGTTTCTGTGCATCGCGTTTGATTGGTCATCGCCTACAAACTGTCGAAATCGCCTTCTTTCTCCTTGTACACTGCGCGCCAAAATGATAGGACCACCTTGAAAGTTCTCATAACTCGGTCAATATTGATTATTTTAAGGTGCGGTTTCGATGCTAGTTACAAAACACGCTGGGAAAGATCAGGTATGCGCTAACACTCGCGTTTTTGCACTCTATGCGTGCCAAGTCAACACAAATTAGGACCACCCCCATCCCAATACAAAATCCTATATAAAGGGAAAAGTTGTCGCCACTTCCTGGTGGAAGTTGTCGCCA